TTTTTCACTACTTATCATGTCTCTCTCTTCCTTTGTTTATAAGGAGCGGCATCCTTGTCCTACAAAGACAACGAGTTGTAACATATGTAGGCTTGTTTGATCTTATTCTTATAAACCTTAAACCTTATCTACTAGTGCTCAAGTTTATTCCTTTATCAAAATACCTTATAGGTTTTTAAATTAAATCTATTGACCCAATTAATCATCAATTAATTTAGACCATCCAAATAACTTGGGTCAAATATTTTAATATGGATGGTCCAAATTAATTGATGATTAATTGGGTCAAAAGAGTTTGTGCCAATAGGTTTAATTTAAAAGCTTACAAGGTATTTTGGTAGAGGGATAAACTTAAATTACTCTTAAACTTAAATTAAGAAACTAATTTCTTTTTTAGTAACTATCTTTCAAATTTGGAACTAACTTTCAAATTAAGAAGTTCCAAATTAGGAAACTAATTTCTAAAATAGGAAACTTTTTATTCTAGAAAACTTTTTCTCAAAATCTTTGCTTCTCGTTTATTGTGTGAATGTTTAAACTTATTTGTGTGACTCAATAAGCTCCTAGATATATTAGTAATGTATCAAGAATAAAAGATACATCTTTTATCTTTTGATACATAAATCAAGATTAACCTCTAGCAAGTCATCTTGACTATCCAATTATCTAAGAGGATTAATTAATTCGCAATTACCTTTCATGAACATGATTGTCATACAATTCATTCATCATGTTAATTTATCATATTGTGATCTCAAACTTAGTTTATAGTCTATTTGACTATGATCACATAAGTTTTCTTCGATTCTTAAATGTCTTAGCTCTAAAGTAAACCAATTATGCTATATTGGTATACATTCAATGTGACCACAAATTCCACGAGCAAACATTCATCGAAGTGTAATGTGATAACTTCTAGTATATAAGGAATGACATGTCCTATCTCAATCATTCACCTATATCTATTAGATTCCTAATGCACCTAACAAATAGCTCACATGTAGTTTTTTACTAAGCCCATTAAAATGAATGTCAAAGTACATAAATCCTCTAATGAGATAATCATGATGACTTCAAGTCAAAAGATTAGTTGTACTCATCTCGTATGAGATTTTCATTGACTAAACCAAATGGGTTCTCATGACGAGTCACATTTAGTGATACGTTCTCTAACGTTAATCACCTAAGTGCTAGCTTTGACATCACCAAACCAATAGGTATGAAATCTCTTGCTCGCTATATTATAGCATGACCATAACATTTACAAATTTTGCCATATATAGTTAATGTCTATTATTGACAATACTACAACTTGAGACATTTAATGATATCATTTAAATGTATCAATGTACGTCTCACATCAATTGATCAATCGGTAAAATTCATTTTGTCCATTTCAAGTTGATGTTTTTATCATTTACCAACGTATAGTTTAAAATTTTCCAACTAACCACCTATAATTTCACATTTGATTTAATTTTAGGAAACTTTTTATTGATCACTAACGTATAAATTTCAAATTTCATTTGATTTGAAGAATCTAATAACGAGTGTTTAAAGAATTTAAATAATAAACAAATCTCACATAAGTTAGGATCAACAAAAATATCTAACATGTAGAAAAAATAAAATTATAGCATAAAATTCGTGCAAAGAAAAGGGACAATGATAATTGAAATAGCTCTACCTTTTTATTTGAGTATTTGTACTCGACAAAGTTTGATTTATCAAATACTTCTATTAATTTTGTTATCATATAGCTAATATGGCCCTTAACTCTATATCCAAGTGGGCAATATTGACATTATTTTAATATTTTTTATCGTTTTAATGAACTTTTGTACTTATAAAATTTGATCGATCAAGTAATTTCATAAATTTCTGTTATAAATTAGCTAACATTTTAGTTATCTTCAATACAAGAGGGCTTATATGTCCGAAATAAACATGATTTGTCATTTTTCAACATTTTAGGTTTTCCATTAAAAAAATGAAAAGAAAACCAATCAATTATGTGTTATATTTTTTCTTACTCGTTAGTTAGGGTTTAATTTTAGGTAATGATAGGAGCTTAAAAAATTCTAACTAATGAGTAGCATAAATATAAACTCGGCTAATTGATTAATTAGTTAGTTTTGTTTTTTACAATTTTTTTTTTGTTATTTAAAAAATATCACTACATACATTCAAATAGAAAAATGTAAATGACTTCATCTTCTTTATATAATTTTACTAGTATTTAATATGTCTTTACATTTTTAGTTATATTTATAATATCATTGTATAGTATCTAATTCTCCAATATGTCCTATTAAGTTTTTCCATTCGAATTAATAGACTTATAAGAATATAATAAATTTTTTTTTTCAAAATTGCTCAAAATATTTTTTAAAAAATATATAAATTTAGAATTACTCAAACATTAAATAATAAATAAAAATAAAAATTATATTTTTGTATAGCTTAGGTCGTTTTTTAGAATATAAAAATATAATTATGTCAATTTAAATGAAAAAATTGAACAAAATAATATATTAAAGAATTTAATATTATATAAAAAAATAACAAACACAATAAATAATATAAAATATATTAGATATTTTTAATTATATAATGATAAATTGAGTCATTTATGATAGGAAATTTTATGAAACATAAGTACTTCATACACCATTTATTTTTGTCAATTTCTAACACCTAGCTGTCAATTTCTATCACCTAACCCACTTGACAAAGAAATAAATGTTACTTCAATGTACTTGTAATATATACTAACAGAGATGTTTCATTCATCAAATTTTATAAATACAAATACTTAACCAGAAAAAATAATATAGGTACTCAAATAAAAACAATTATAAAACACATGTATTTCATGTTGTTGTCCTGAAAAAATAATAAAAAAAAGTATTAAAATAATATCAATTTGGGCCCATTTTACAAAGAAGTACCTGTTACGTCACTATTTTGATAACAAAATTAATGAAAGTGATTGATCGATCGTAGAAATAGAAAAACGAAAAAAATCAGTACAAATATTTACATATAATAAATTAAAAAGTATAGACATTTCAAATCCTTTTATTCCCAACGAAAATCACCACCGCTGATATGATAGGACGCTTCGGTTGGGCTTGTTAAAGGTCCTACTAAACAACTGTGGTGCCGATTTAATGTTTCTACTCGTCCCATGATCTTTATAAAACAGAAGATAAATAATAAAAAATTGAAACTCTAAAGTGGATGATTAAAAAATTCCTTAAATTGGATAAAGTTCAAAATTAAATGGTTAAACGATGAGTTGAAACTATAAAGTGGAAAAAAAATTAAATTATACGTGGGTAAATGATGAAATTGAAACTATAGGTGAATAATTACCAAAAAAAAAAAAAAAAAGAATATAGAAGTAAGTGATTGAAATTTATCCAAAAATAATGAGCAATTAAGATGGTAGAATAAAAAAGGCATGTGCAATATTAGTGACTTCATAATGGCCAAGTTCTTGTGATAAATAATTGATGGTGCTGCCACTAAAAGAATAGATTTAAATGATAAAGAAATTGTTCTAATTTGATGTAAATTAAAGTCAAATATCACTATTTATGAATAATTAGTAATAATTATTTTTTAGTAGTATCAAACTTGAGATCATTTGGTTTAAAAAAATTTAATAGTCGATAAAATATTAAATGTGTTATGATGTCAACTTAATTTAAAAAATAATATATTTAATCTCGATTGATACAAAAATTAGTTAAAAAATATTTCATTATCTGTAAAAAAAATAAAATAAAATAAAAATTGAAGGTGCTGGCTGAAGCATGACCGTTGATCAAGTCATGGAAATAAAAATTTGCTAAACTAATAATTTGGTGAGCTTGTGAAGTCACGGCTCTTAGCCATTCAATCTAGCTAGGTCTCCTGTAACTTAACCTGTTCCATGGAACATATATATAGACTTTCGTGGGCAGTCTCCTAGCAAAATTAAAGTCTGAAATGGGATTGACAACATTTAATTTAAGCTTATAGTTAGATGTCTTTCCACCATGTTTCACGAAATTATTGAAAATTGTGCTTAAAAAACGAAAAGATTGAATGCAGGGCGAGACTAATAAGGGGGCATCTTTTTTCAACGAACCTTGCTTTGAACAGAAAGGACTAGTCCCAAAAGAATGTCAGTATAAAATTTTGTTAAACTTTTGTGGCATCTGAACAAATTCAATGGTGAATCTCAAATAGCTAAGTTTGTATAGAATCGATCTGTCACGATTGAGCGACCAATATGTAGAACAGTTTTGATAGCTATGCATATGATATAAATTTATGCATATGTGTTGCATCCATTTGCTTCCATGTCCAAGAGTAGATGTAATACAATAAGTTCATTGAAAGCCCGGCGGCAGGAACAAAACAATTTCTTTTTGAAAACTAATTAGATATGAAAGAAAATTAAGGACTGGGAAAATCCCAGTGGTTAATATAAAATTTCCTTTTTTTCCTTAACAAACAGACTCCATTAAATGGCCAAGGGCTTGATGAGTAGACGCAAGGAGTCCAAGCTTTGGTACAAAGAGCTTGATGCTCTAGATAAATGGATAACACAAATAATCCAAGAAAAAAGTCGGAAGGACGAGAATACATTGAAGCCCAATAAACAAATAGCAAGTCTTTCGCTTCACAACGTTGAGGAAAATGTGGGGAGAAATGAACCTGCAGCTTCTTGTTAAATATTATACCCAAGAATCAAAATCCATTGTAACTCTAAGTAAACTATATATTTATATATTTATATATACACACACATATAAGAATACCAGTTAGTTAGCTAGTTCTGGCTAAAAGGATTTAATTTGACATTAAAATAACTAAACAAGCAGTACAGTATGTAATATAGTTTAGATAAAAATTTTAACTGACCATGTACTAGCAATTTGATCAAGTGTACGGGACGTTTGAAGAAACAGGAACAAAGACGATTAAAATTTAAAATTAATGAAAATTTAAGGGTACCCTGCAGCCAAGCAAGTCTCCCAAAAGAGTCTGTCCTCCATTGCATCCACGACTTCCTTCCTTAGATTATTATCAACCTTCGATTCCTCTTCACCTTCCTCAATGATCATGCAATCCAAGGCTGCATCCCTTAGAATCATCTTGCAGCCACTCCAACTTGGCTCCCGATGATCATCAACCTCAAAAGCTTCATCAAAACCATGTACATGATCAGTTGTGTCACAGCTACATGACTCTGCATCATCATCATCATCATCATCACAGGCTATAGTCACATCGAGATATAGCTTCGGAAGTCCATAATCTGCCTCAGAGTCTGCACTGCCCTCGACAAGAAGAAAGGAAGATACGTCCAATACTCTCCTCGTGTTGTCCATATTGTACATATGGTCTCTTACATTGGGAAAGAAAAGTTGTAAATCTTCTACTAATTAGGTGAATTATGCACTTTGGCAAGTGTTTATTATATACACACACACTGAAGTTGCCTAGTAGTGATTAAAATGATTATCTACGTATAGCGGTTAATTCACCTTTTGAGTGAGAAGTTGTGATAAGTTTTCGAAACTTCTATTTATTAATTAGAACATATTTTATTTTAAATGATTAAATAAAAAAATAATATATAAAGTTGAGAAGAGATTATTTATCACTAGATTTAAATCTTTTGGATGAAATTCTATTTCAATTATCTAACTTTATAATTGTTTCCTTTCTTATTTCATGTTTAAATTTATTCTTATATATTCATTGGAAGGAGAGAGAGAAAAGGAAAAAAGAAAATGAACAAGAATAATTTGTGCACACAAATCATATATATATATATATATATATTAATTGGTCATATCATGGAACGCAAGTTAATCCACCATTGGCATGTATATTATTGTGTCGTATTAATTAGCCTCCTGAAAGCCACTTTTAATTTGTTGTTTTATTTGATAAAGATGCAATTATTAAAGTTAACAATATTGGAGGACTATGTCCACAGGTGAATCTCTGCTAGCTAGCTAGCTAGCCGTGGTGTGACACTACTGGTTATCAATTCTTAGCTGTGGAGACATGACAATTGTTCGAACCTAATTTAGGATTAGTGTTAATTTTATTTAGATGTAATCATCGTGTCTACATCAAGTGTGACGCTAGGATGACTAAAATGTTCGTCAGGATTTTGTTTTTCTTTTTGGTGGTACTTTCTCTGGCATCTAAAATTTTAAAGTAGCTTGGAAATGTGGGAATCGGTGGGTAATCCCTCAAAGGACATGGAGTGATTGTGGGCTAAGGATTAGCAAACTTGTTAATAAATGGGTGATGTTTCGGTTAAGCAATCACCATGTTTCTGGCACTCCCAATCACAGAATTGGAGCATTAATTTTGTGATGCAATAATGAACTCCACTCACAAATATTTAACCTCCATTTCATTATTCCACATTCCCTTATTTAAGGTTTCCAATGCAAAATTTTATCAGTTTTATTACATCATTCGTTTGAAATTGAATTCGGAGCTGACCAGACCCATAAACACTAGATATCACCGGATCAGGAGGAATAAATATGTTTAGTCAAGCAAAGATTTCAATACTCAAAAAAAAAAAAAAAAAAAAAAACAGTTTTATCTTTCCCTGTTGCAAGAACTCCAAAAAAGTGTTCATAGATAGAAGTACATATAAAAATATTAAATACCCATCAAGTTCTTACTTTTGGTGAGAAAATGAAATCAGAATGAATATGGAATACGCAACCAACAACTAGACGCAGGTGGTGAATAAAGCAAGTCTAAAATATTTTCTTTTTATTTAACTGATGTGGTACTGGTACATAATGAAGCTGGGATCTGCCATCGAAGCGTGCTGTAATAACATCACATGATCACTCAAAGAAGTAATGATATTTGTTTGATTACATGACACGTGCATGAACATGCACTGTATATGTTTATTATCAAGTGTGCATCGCCATCTTTGTTTTCCCACCAGGTTGTTTTAAGTGTGCATCGCCACTAATGTTGTACGCAGGCTGTTTATGTTCAATACTAAGCCATGGCCATCAGAATAATAGGTATGCATAATCCTTATGTTGTCATATCCATGTCATTAAACAAGTTTTCACAAAACTGATTAGCTAGGTTTAGAAGCTCATAATCATGAAGGAAAATAGCTCTCAAGGGATTGGCTCAATTGGTAAGTGATGAGTCAGTCCAGTAAAATACAAAAACGTGGGTTTGATAAATAAAAGGAATGTTGGACGGCACCTTGCACTAAATACCTAAAAAAAAACACCTCTTTCGTTGGGTGAGGGATTCTCCAACTATAAGTTAGTAGTCAAAAAATAATTAAATAGCTTGAAAATGCTCTTTGGAGAAAATGTTTAATCGCTGGAGTTAGCACCCATTTTTTGCCTCAAATAATACAATTAATTTGTGAGTTTATATATGTATATAGTAAAAAGAAAAAAAAGAGACTTATTTGGAAAAATTAATTTTTAGGTATAATTGAAGAAAATTAAAAGAATAGGTCTTGATTTATTTCAATTAAGGGATGTAATTAAAATGCAAGAAAATAAAATTAAACCAAAAAAAAAAACAAAATAAACCAAGGACCAAATATAGTGTTTGCCCAAAATCCTAATTGTTTCTATAAATACCCAACTCATTCATCCATTAAGGCTGGACATGGATCCCAAAAAAATTAAAATAAAAAACCAAAAAATACAAAAACATATCCAAACAACCCTTAAGGAACCAAAACTCAAATAATCGGTCGGGTTACCCATTTACCCAGTTGAACATTCCCACTTTAAATTGACCACCCTCCGATCGATTGTGACTCTAATTGCCACCATAAATGGATAGCCCATCCCCATTTGTTAGAGGAGGAGATGACATCGGAGGAGGGAGAATTCTCGCTTGAACCACCACGATATGACCCGTTTGAAGACCCGTTTATATCTTTCAATTCGGGCCAAACTATCGGATGTCATTATCATAGACACGGTCATCCGAATCCCTTGATTGTTTCCCCTCGAGTCATAACTCAAAGTCACCGAAAAATGGTTTAATTGACGGTGACCCGTTTTGAAGAACCCAAAAAAATTAGCTAATCAATGCCAAATCGAGTATCCTAACTACCATAGAAACACTCCTCTTAGCCTCGTGAGTTGATCGATATCCTTGAAACCTCCAATCATTGCCGGAATAATCATCGGAGAGAGTAAGAGATCGGGTTGAAACTTTCAAGCCTTTGATCTCCCTCTTCGATGTCTTTACCGGCTTCCACCACCATCGTTAGACTCACGATGGTCTCTTTTATAACACAAGGTAGTTCACACACCCAAAAGGGCCATCAAAAGCTAAATAGACGAGCAGTAGTGGTTGTTTGGCTTCAAAGGTATTCGGTAATTTTGCAATGTAGGGGTAGTGTGGTCATTTCACTTTCGGGGTCATTTTGATCATTTCGGAATCGACTATGTGCAATTTAATCACCATAAAATAGTATTTCGATGCTAAAAAATAGTTGTTTTTCTTCTCGGTTGATTGAAATAATTAGTCTTCATCGAGATTGAAGGAAACAAACTAATTCGAAGAAGAAGATCTCGACGCTTTCATAATGCTTGGGTAACTTCTAAATTCATATGGATTATTTTGAATGATAAATGAGTTTGAAATGATGCGTTATGAATTTAGAGTCTTTTTATCTATTTTCTAAATAGTCTTTCTAAATTCATATTGTGATTGTTGCTTGTTACATGTTTCGCTCGAAACGAAATTGTTGATAACTTCCTACCTTTATGACGAAGCCGCTAGTGGCTTCGAGTCATTTTATCTATTTTCTATTTACTCTAAATAAAGTTGTCGGTGGCTTTTGACTAATGTGGATGGAGTCACCGAGTGGCTTATTATTTTCAATTTTATTTAATTTTAAATGTGGATGGAGTTGTCATTGGCTTTCCACTTATATGACGAAGCCACTTAGTAATTTTGAAATTATTTTATCTAATTTCTATTTATCTAAAATGAAGTGACTAATGGCTTTCTATTAGTGTTTGTATGCAACTTGTATGGTGGAAAGGTTGGGATTGTCCTTCTTCTTTGATGGTAGAGGTGAGGTAGACAACTTATGGTGATATGCTATCATTTCATTTGATCTACGATAGTTAAAGTTATCATGATGAGTATCAATATGATTTAAATCATCATTAAAAAGTCTTTTCATTGAATATTTTGTCTCCCCTAGCGATAGTGAAGGAAAATGAAGTCTTTTTTTTAGGTTGGGGCATCTTAGGATTGAAGAGTTCCTAAATTTTTTTTTGAGAGGCAACCCACCTTATAAGGGGTAGTTGTCTTTTAGGAACTCTAGGCCCATCTAATTAGTCATTGCCATGCATTATGATTTGTGGACTCGACTTAGATGAAACTTTCTTGTCTCTTTTAGTTTAAGTGTGTTGAGTGTGTTTAGCTCATGTTGTGTTATGGAATTTGAATTTTTGGTCTTGTTTCGATTATGGTGTATGGTGTTTTTCATGTCATTAGGAGAATTAGTGTTTTGTGATTTGTGTTTAGTGTCTATTTTAGTTTGTTTGATGATATGTAAAAGCTAAGCATGAGAGAACATAATAGATGTATTATTTTATAATTTTATTCTCTTTAAATTTAGCCTATTTAGTATGTTTTATGTTTTATGTTTTATTATGATGATTAATGCTCATATTTATGTATAAGACATAAATTAAGAGCTGATAGTGATTTTGTTTAATATTAAAAAATTCTAACATTTTATGACTTACAACTTCGAGCTTCTTACATATTTTTGATGGATTTTATGTTGTATTTGGAAGAAGTGTTCTTCGAACTTTTGTAGAGAACATCTCAAGCTTTTCATAATTTATGAGTCAAAATTCGAGTTTGTTTAGGCCTCTAGATGATGTTTTATATTATGATCTAAAAAATCGATCCAAATCCTAGTTAGTGCTTGAATTCGGATGAGTTGATTCCTTAACCATTTATGATTTTTATTTAATATAAGTTTTAGAAATTTAATCAATGCAAGGCTAATCCCTTTGAAGATTCTAGAACTATATCTATAACTTTTATGAAGGGCCTAAGTTCAACTAAGTCATTTTGAAGGAGGAAATTAGGTAGAAAGTCAAATTCTAAGTCCGGGTAGACTAGCTGAGATAGTCTCGGTTTTTAACATATAACTCGAGTTATGAACCTTTTTTTTATACAAGGCCTAATGATTTGGAAATATGAGGAGAGAAGAATCCATTACGCTTCGTATCTTGTCCAAAATTGGCAACAAAGACACAATATGAAATCAAATAAAGCTGAATCTTAATTGAATTAGGATAACTCTTGAATTTTAGGAGATAAGTGAGAGATTTTCTAG